GCGCGTAGAATTTACATTAATTTGCACTTGAAACTGCATTTACATACATCGCGATACGCGCGATCCGTGTTGGTCTGTAGATCGAAGCAGAGCTTTAGATCCATTTGCGAAAGAAAGTATAAACGGGGAGAATTCTCTCTTAAAGTTTGCCCTGAGATCGTATCGTGCGATCGTGGGACAACGTGGCATTTTGAAGAACTTTATGAGAGTTTTTTTCACACTTTACCATACATTTTACCAGCAACTAAACTTTCACTAGTAAAATGTGTACTAATTGTAGAGGAAAGTCCCCTCTTATAAGATAGGCTCATAATACGAGACAGTAGAGTTTTTGCTAAATTAATAAGCATCACCTGTTGGTTTCATCGTCAATTTATTGCCCCTGGAGTGAAATCTGTTTAATGGAAAATTGTTAGTTCGCGTAATCGTTGCGAATAAAAATTTGTGATTCAATTTTGATGCTGAAAACCTGCTATCTCGCATTAAAGCCTGCGCCAACGATGCTAGAACTTGGTCCAAGTTCCGAGAAATGCGTAGTCAATCAAGTTGCAGCTTTTATGGAATGGTTGCAAGTTGATTGACTACGCATTTCTCGAAACTAGAACTTGGACCACGTTCTAGCATCGTGGACACAGGCCTTTAGAAGCCTATCTCATAATAGAGGACTTTCCTCCAAGTATTATACAATTACTAGTAAAATACGTTTCGTTAGCAAAATGTATGGTAAAATTTCAAAAAAGTCTCCTAAAGTTGCCACCGTTGTCCCACATCGTTTTCAGGATAAATTTGAAAAGAAACTTCTCCCCGCGTATTCCTCGGAATTTATTTTCTGAATTCCGTCGAAATTTTGAATTGTCAAATCGTGTAAAGTAAACGTACCTAACACTTTCGTGAAACGGCGTCGTCGGGCAAGGCCTGATTTCGCGTAATCGGAAATAATAGACGATTTGCCGCTCGAGGGATCGCGTAATGGCCGGGAATTTCGTTTCGCACGTGGGCACCCGAAATGGTCCGCCCCGCCCGGAAGTTTTAACGAGCCCCCGCATTCACGGCGGTCACGAGTGCGCGCGGTTCTGTTCGCGGCACACGCGCGCCTCCCCCTTGCTTAAGGCCTTCACACATAAAATTCCGTAAGGACGTAAAACGTAAGCGTAAGAAAATCAACAAGTTGGATTTGCTACTGCTTGCGTCATTGCCTTACGTTCTCGACTGTGATTGGTCGATTTTCTTATGCTTACGTTTTACGTCCTTACGGAATTTTATGTGTGAAGGCCTTTATTGATAAGAGAACGAAAGGGTCACTTATGCCGGCGCGTTTCGCCGAGCAGTTTGCCCGATGAACGGGCAAACACCGCGTAAACATCGATTCGCGTCCGTGCCGTTGTCTCCCCGCGTCGCGAGTGATTTCGAGTCGCGACTCGCCGTATTTGCCCGCGTATTTACCGAATTAAGCAAGACACACAGCTGTGTTGCTTTTACAAGCGCGCGATTCGTGGGTGGATGAGATATGTTGATACACGTATCTAGTGGCTTCCGCGCGAGATATTCCTGTTTGTCCAATCTGCCGCTGTGTACACACGCAAGGTGGATCGCGCGGATCCGGCTGGATTTCCGCCGGGCGTTAATCGAAGAGGAGTAGCTTATTATCATTCATATCCCTCGGATCCGCTCCGCCCGCTGGCTCGAAAGAATCTGAAAAATCCGCGACGCTCGGGGAAAGTGCAAGCGCGCGAGTGCGATACGTTGCAATTAGCGTTGTACACGCGGTGAAAATGCGCCGCTGTTTGTATCCGCGTCCATTTAAGTCGCTCTCAAGGCGCGCTCGCGCCGATCGCTCCGCTCCGTTCCGGGGGATCGGCTCGCGCTCGCCGCGGGTTAACGTGCTCCTCCCCGTGCGCACCACCGGCCCGGGAGTGACGTTTCCACTCGGCGTCATGCTTCCGAGATATCGGTACGCCCACGTGGCGTCGCCGAGAGACCCACGTAGCCGGGGTACGCGCGTAGGCACTCCGGCTGCTGCTGCGGGCACGCAATCGCGGCGAGCAGCTGCGGCGTATCGCGTTGGTGCACGCGGCATTAGAAAGGCGGCCGCGGCTGGGAGATGTCACAAGGCAAACCGCATAACATAACTGGGATACACAGGGAGTTTACTGTGCGTGCCTATCCGCGCGATCGGCGGGCAGTACGGTTTACCGGCGGCTGAAACCGAGCGCGCTCGAGCGTCCTTGAGAAAATTTCTCCCCCGCTGTTCGCGCCCGCTTTCATACGCTCTCCTGAAAACCGCGGGGCTCCGCGCGACCATTTATCTTGGGGCCGCGGAACGACCGTTTCGTTTGTCGCGCGAGGCTGTCCACGCCGGGCTCTCCGGCGGATTTTCGGAGAGGGTCGGAGCGAGCCCGGCACGCAGCGAATTCATCACGCGAATCTTGGGCGGCGGGATTCGCGCGTGTTATTTATGCGTGCGTTAAACGTGCCTCGGTCCGCCGCGTTGAAGCTCCGGCGGTGGACAGCGTCCGTAGAAAGAGACGCGGGGAAGCTGCGATCAATCGCGGCACGTCGAGCGAGAGAGAGAGAGCGAGAGAGAGAGATAGATCGGAAAGAGCGGGGCGAGGTAAAGATTACAATTTATACGATTACAATTTATACGAGCGGCCTCCGGACCGCGCGGTTATTCACTCGCGACTTTTTATTTATGCCGCTGCCCCCTCGCCCCGCGCGAAACGCGTCCGCGTATCGCCGGTCCGAGCCGTGCCACGGACGACAATAATTTTTCATTACCCCAGGTCGGCGCGAGAGAGTCACGGTCGCCGCCGATCCATTCTCCGCAGACCCGCGTTTTAATTGGGAGCCGGAGATTTTACCGCGCGCCAAATTAACGAAGCCCCGGAGATTCCGTCTGTGGAAACGTCTGTGAAAACGGCGATGCCAAGCCGGAGTTGGGATCGAATCGTTCTAGCTGACAAGGCGCTCTCTCTCTCTCTCTCTTGCGCGCGAACGGGTCGACGCGATTGCGTAGACGCGAAGCGATGTAGAGCTAGAAGGCAACAAGGACGCGTGAGAGCACTTGTGGACCGTCTGGCGACCCTTTAATAGGAATTTATGCCAACATTCGCCTGACCTTAATTGCCGCCAGGCCCGATCAATTGGCGCCGAATCGCGTCGTTCTTTGTCGTAGCTCTCGCGCCTTTCGTAGAGCGTAGATTAAACGCTCGCGCGAGGAGAGATCTATCCGGAATGATCGACGTTAATTAAGATACGACTGTCGTTACGTCAAACGCGAGGAGAACACTTGGCGTTCCAGCGCCAAGATTTCGCCCGTGGAAAATTATACGCTCGCGGTGGCCGCACGTCGAAGGTAAACGTCAGTAGCGCGCGGAGCTATTGAATATTCATACGAGGTGCACTCGTTGCTTCGATACTTTCTCATAACGTCACGTAAATACTGTTAACAGCGCCACATCTGGAGCGAGGTGAGCGTGGTGTCCACCTCGGCGAGGTGTCCGTTTTCAACAGATGTTTAAAGGCCGAAAACAAGCGCGTACCTGTATCCCTCTCTTCTCTCTCGTTTCCCGCGCGCGTAATTTTATTGATGAATAAATCATTTTTCTCGATGTTATCTTCGTAGTACAGGGTGAACGTCTGGAGGAAACGCGAGAAAGGAAAGCGCCTTATCTCGGGCCTAGACGTATGTACGATTCTCTGGAATACAGTAGATTCAGGAGGTGTTTGACCCACGCCATTAAACGCCATAAGTTGTCGCGGTAATTTATCGCTCGGCCATTAAACACGTTCCGCTGACTTATGTCAGGGATATTCTCCGTGGATATATGCTTCCCGACGCCGGACACTCGTAGTGGAGTTGGCGGCGACACCCGAAATCGATTGCCGGCATTCAGCTATAAATATTTAACGTCGGCGGAAAAAACGCGCCAGGAAATGTAATGAACGGCTAGAGAAGACCGACGCGAGCCGCGAACAACAGCCGGGCCTGATTGTCATTCGCGGTGCATTCACGACCGGTGACTGCCCTTGGCTGCTGCTGTTGGTGCGGAAAGGCGTCGTCGCTTCGCCGACGAAACGTTTTAATGGCTCTCTCTCTCTCCCTTTCTCGACAGCGAAGAAATATAATTGTCCGGGTCACTCGTCGGTGTCGTTAAACTTGTTAAATCGGGGGTCACCACACTGCGCGGTGCGCACACACGCACGTGGACACGCATTCGTCGTGCGTGCCACTTTCTTTAAGAGATCATACCGTCGCGCCATACTTTCACGATGCCGAAGAAAAGCTGCGACCGCCACGGAAGCGATTCGGGCAATTTTAACGCGAAAACCGAGCGCGGGGTAATTGCGGTGTTATTTCCTCGCGTCGATAAAATTGCGGCGGAGAAACGCGCGGAAGGTACTTGGACGAGGAACACGTTCGATGTGCATTGATACAGTACACGGCGGGGCATCTCTGAAAAGGCTCGCGTCAGACTTTCTTTTCATTTCGGGGTTGGGCCTTGGGTGAAAATTAATTGAATGTGCTCAATATCTCTCTCTCTCTCTCTTTCTCTCTCGATTCCACGAATGATAGCCTTATCTACTTATTTTTTAATTCTTTTTCCTTCTTTCCTTTCAAGTCTTGCCGTTTTTTTTTGTTAATTGCAATATTGTATTACATTGTGATGCCTTCACGCATGAGAGAACATTGTTCTCCAGAGCGCCTAATAAATAACGATTCGACGATTGAACATTTCAACGAGTCCGCTTTCTCAGCGCGCAGTCAATTTTACATTTCTGACGTTTCGCACCGGAATTATGGCAAATAGTTTTTTTTCCCCCCTCGTGCCCCCTCGAGAAAGCCGCTGATTGTGAGATACTGTCTTCGAGGACTCGAGTCATTGCACGCGTGGGCAAATAAATCTGCGTAGTCGCGGGCCCCGGGCGGGCGCTCGCCCGGGCGAATCTTGGTGGCGTCTCGACATTGTGTAAAGGGACATTTTTCTCGCCTGTTCCAGAAATTGCCGTCTTTCTTCAACAGCAAGCCGACGCGAGTGGACAAGACGGACAACAACAATGCGAACAATTCCAACAGCACGAGCAACAACATTCACAATATGCCGCTGCACGAGCCCATCAGCGCAACCTCCCCCGAAGTATACGGTACGTGAGAACTCTGTGATTGCATGAAAATATCGCGGTACCTTATACGGCGCGTGTGTGGAGAAAACGCGCCGCGCTGTCATTTAGTACACCGGCAATGGGCATTGTGGTGTACAGATTTGCGGCATTACAGGGCATTTTTTGGGCATTAGTTTGGGCATTTGGCCTTGCTGAGGCATTATAAAAGAAGATAAAAGAAGATAAAATAAGATAATAAGATAAAGCAATGCCCTCCGGGCACTAGTAGGCATTGCTAGGCATATTTTGGGCATTAGGCCTTGCTGGGGCATTATAAAAGAAGATAAAACAAGATAAATAAGATAAAATAAGATAACAAGATACAGTAATGCCCACTGGGCCATTAGTAGGCATTGAGATACATGATTTTGCTCAGCGGTTTACCCCTCAGTCACACCCCGGTCCCGGCTCTGCGTCGGAGACTCGCGTAGCTCTTCCACGCGCTCCCCCGAGGTACGCAGCCGGCCTCACGTGTGCTTCTTTTTTTTTCTCGGCGGGAAAAAACAGCCGGGAGACTGCCCATGACGCCCCAGGAAGCGGTGAAGTATTACGGCTCCAGACTGACGGAATTCGAGCGCGCCGAGATCGAGAAGTACTCGGAGATCTGGTACCTGGGCCTGTCGGCCCACAAGATCCACGGCGAGGAAGTCTCCTCCCAGAACGGCGGCTACGACGACGAAAACGGCAGTTACAACAAGGTCCTGCACGACCACATCTCCTACAGGTGAGACGTCCTCATCAGCTTTCCCTCTTCTCTCCTAATTGCTATCGCCGCCCGACGTTTGTCTCGGTCGTCCTAGCAGGTCCCCTGCAGCTAAGGAGATCGCAATAGCAATGGAATCTCGCGATTGCGCGCACCTGCATTCCGCTCGTCGCTCTCGAGAGGAGAAATTGCGGTTGAGAGCTGCGCCTGCAGTCGCAAGCGTCTATATAAACTGCGCGCGGTAAACTGCGAGACGTTAGATAAAAATGCTCGAATTTTCTCCGCGCGTCAACACGTAAACAGGACTGGTAATTGTTTTTCTTTTCGCCTTTCTTGTCCGTGCGTCCCGCCGATCGTCCACGCCGGCTTCTCGCACGTGTGTAAATTACTTGAAACTTGTGTGTGCACTCAGATACAAGAGTAGGTAAGCGAGAAGGATCTTGTGTGTGGGTCTGGATAGCTCAGTCGTAAGAGCATTCGTCCGGCAAGGTCCCAGGTTCGAATCCTGATCTGGTCCTAGTCCGTTAATTAATAAGTGGCGCGTCTCAGTGCCTACCTCCCCGAAGATACACTATTTATTACTGTGGTAAAAATGCTGGAATTTTCTCTGCGTGTTAACACGTAAACGAGACTGGCAATTGTTTTTCTTCTCACCTTTCTTGTATGTATGTACGTCTCGCCGATCGTTCACGTCGGTTTCTCGCATGTGTGTAAATTACTTGAAACTTGTGTGCACTCAGATACGAGATCCTGGAGGTGATCGGCAAGGGAAGCTTCGGCCAGGTGATACGCGCGCTGGATCACAAAACGGGACAGCACATCGCCATCAAGATTATCAGGTACGCGGAAAACGGTACACTCATCTCGCGCGATGACTCATTGCGTGCCGGATCGCGGAGCTACGATCCGAGGAAAAACGCGACGCGCGTCCGCAATGGATAATGATACATCCGGCATTTTTCCCCGAGCGCGCTGCGCCGTTTCTTTATTCAAACAGCTTTCACTGTCCTCGCAGGAACAAGAAGAGGTTCCACCATCAGGCTCTCATCGAGGTGAGAATCCTGGAGCATCTCAGAAAGAAGGACTTGGAGGCGAACTCTCAGCACAATGTGATACACATGCTAGAATATTTTTACTTCAGGAATCACCTGTGCATCAGTTTCGAGTTAATGAGGTGAGCGATCGTGAGGATAAGCGGAGAGTCTCCGGTCTCCGGCCGCGTGCAACTTATTAAGCGAACGTGTAAAATTGCCGTTTCAGTTTGAACCTGTACGAGCTAATCAAAAAGAACAATTATCAAGGATTCAGCCTGAGCCTAATCCGTCGTTTCGCCAACTCGCTAATTAGTTGCCTGAGACTGCTCTACCGGGAGAACATAATTCACTGTGACTTGAAACCGGTGGGTAACGCGCGGGGATGCGCCCGCGTCATGTTTTATTCGCGTTGATCCCGAGTGTCGACGTCTCATGCGCGCTGTCATTGTTACAGGAAAACGTGTTGCTGAAACAACGGGGGAGCAGCTCGATCAAAGTCATCGATTTCGGCTCGTCGTGTTACAGCCACCAGCGCGTTTACACGTACATACAGTCGAGGTTCTACAGGAGTCCGGAAGTGATCCTCGGTCTTCCCTACGGCACGCCGATCGATATGTGGAGCCTGGGCTGTATCTTAGCCGAGCTGTACACGGGGTATCCGCTGTTTCCGGGCGAGGACGAGATAGAGCAACTCGCCTGCATTATGGAAGTCCTCGGTCTGCCGCCAGAGCACATTATCAATCACGCCACTCGTCGCAGGCTCTTCTTCGGTAAGCCATTAATATTCGCGAGTACCAGAAGCTCTGCGAGGCAGAGGTGTGTGCCCTCTCGTTGTAGACAAAAGCGGTGGTGCCGTACGGTAATACTCAAAGAACGTCTAAAATAATTGCAGATCCGAAGGGAAGTCCGCGATGCGTGACAAACAGCAAGGGCAAGAAGAGGTGGGCAGGTAGCAAGAACCTCTCCCTGGCACTTCGGTGCACCGACATGCTCTTTGTAAACTTCGTTAGCAGATGCCTCGAGTAAGTTCCTCACAGTGTGTAGTATTCCCGCGTAGAGACTCGTTATTCGAAAATTCTATTATACACCGACAAAATCGACTCTGCCGTTGCGGTATCCTTGAAGATCCAAACAGACTTCTCTCGGTTGATAAATCATTTTTATGGGACAAGTTCTTTGGCCTGGACTTTACGAACTGTCAATTGGTGAATTTTATGCCAAAACGATCCTTTTATCCTACCAGGTGGGATCCAAAGAAACGTATGACCCCTGACGAGGCGATGCGTCACGAGTGGCTGACTTCGTCGTCGTCTTCGCACGTGAGCTCCTCCTCGTCGGCGATTGCCTCGTCGACGGTGAACGCGAGCGTGAATACGACGACGACGAGCGTCGAGTCGACGCCGCGGGAGTCCGCGCACGCCCCGCAGACGGTGAGCGTGACTGTGAGCGCGCCACGGCAGCGGGCGACGACGATGGAGGACCCGCCGTACACGATGTACCGGCTGTACAAGGGTCGCAAGTACGTGCAGAAGGTCTCGGCGGGCACCGACGTCACCGACAACGGCGGCGGCCTGATGGTGAAGAGCAAGCTGAACGGCAGCGCGAGCAGTCACGCCCTGGCGAGCAGCACGCAGACGGCGACGTCGAGGCACGCGTCGACCGGCGACATCGTTGCGAGCCTAGACCCGAATCTCGACGACTCAGGCACGTTCTTGCCGCCGATATTGTGAAGTCGGGTTTGCGCCAGCCACTTCTAAACGCGCTACTTCGCGTACCGACGCGATCAACGGGCTCGCTCTCCTCGCACCGCCGCGAGATGTGCACAGATGTGTATCAAGCGACGTACATCGGCGGAGAGCGGGTTGCAATCGAACAGTAGGCGCGTGTAGAACTGGCTGGCCGGTCCGACGTTACCGTTTCTCGATGCCAAACGGCTAGTTAAGCGCAGAGTCGCTAGTCTCGGCACGTATCGAGCTATGAGGCCAAAACGACGATCTGACGACGGGAGAAGAGCGCGCAGGCACGACGAGCAATATATAGCGATCGTGTTGATCGATTCGCGCGCTCCCGAGGACTCTGGCGATCCAATGTCACTCAGGTAATCGTAGCGAACTCGCGCGCGCGCGCATTATCGTAGTTATTCTCGGGACACGTAGACTTGCTGCCTAAGATGAGGATACTAGCATCGTTAGTGTATACCGATCATCGACATGGACCATCGTAGCCTACCTGGTTCGAATGTTAATCTCGCGCCTATGCGAAACTCACAGATATTAGCAGGTGACGAAATCTTGTAGATGTTAAAGAAACAATTACAATTGAAAGTTTGTACAGAATGCGTAGTTTGCCTTTTACTGTCGACGAGCCGCGAGGGACGATTCGTCGCCAGGCTGCGTTTTCGACGGTGAAAAAAAAAAGAAGCTCGCGCGAGTGAACGCAATCGGAAAGTAATATGCCGTATAGCAGCGTCATACTTTAGATAACTACGCGAGTGCAAGCGGCGCGATACGACACGCGTATCGTGGCAACGACGTGCGATAGAGAAGCGAAAGAGCTCCGAGGCACATTTTTATGGCCAAACAACGATTCGTCCCCGGGCGTTTTGCAGCGCAACGTCTCCGGGGCTCACCATCGAATTACGGTCGCGCCGAGAAGACCTGAGTCGTTCGAGACCTGTGTCGCCAACACAGGGTCGCGCGATTAATAACGAAGCATCGAGGCGAGAAGAGTAACATTAATACGTGAAGCGTGCCCCAGTTTAACGAGGCCTGAGTAGTCTTATTGTGATATTAAACTACCACTGTCTTACTTAGATCTCTCTGATATTAAGAAGTAACGATCGCTAATATAATAATTTCAATTTACTATTAATCATTATTTTCTTATTATCTGTAATAATCGCTATATCGCTACTACTACCGCCAAGATATAGCGGCATACAAGTAACGAGGATTATCATCGATATAACGACAGAGTTAACACTACTTATATACGTAGGCGTGTACAGATTTTAATTACGCGTTTTCAAAGTCCCGGAGCAGCAGCAGCAGCATGCTAGTTCGCTTACTACCGATGCGCTAAAAAAAAGAAAGAAGAAACAGTCCGATCATTTTTGGCGACTTTTAGTGAATTTTCAGTGACCCCCTATTGCGCCGCTACACCGCTCTTCTGTTGTTATTAATCGTCCACGCGACGTAACGCATGCTTTATTACGTCGAAATTAATTAATGTTGATTAACGCCCCATGAGATTCCTCTCCGCCTTCGCAGCGCTACCTACTTACGACGTTGCTCGTAGTTTCCTGGCATTAATTAGCGATTTATAATTTGACGCGCCCGTACCGAACTGTCACGAGCATTTCGCGATATGCAGAGGATTTGACAAAGAAAAGAAACAAAACCTATTGTATAGTATTATAATGTTAGGCTACTTTTAGACTTGGTAATTGTTCGATGTGCCCGTACCCATTCTAAAGTTTCGTAAGACACAAGCTCGTAATAATTACATCGTTGTGACGTTAGAAACGTGAGATGCGTCACGCTCCACCGTTTGCCGCTTACGAGCTTCCATCGCGGAAACGTTTTCTTCCGTTTTCTTTTTCGCATGCTTCTCTACAATTCCTAAAGGTCCTACCGTACGAAATCGCGAAGGCCCTAAAAATTGTAATACGTATCTCATTGCCGCGCCCGAAAATTGGAGCACGGTACACGAGTGTCGGCACTCCGCAAATTACGATCGCGTTACAAGAGACTGAAATGAATTCATTGTTTTATATCGGAAACACGGCGAAATTGTTCCTAACAATTCGTTCCGCAAAATCGACGTGTCCTCACTTTTATTACTTTTTTTTTTTTAAGCGAACTCATTCAGTTCCTTCGTCAAGTGTGTTGTTTGATTCGCGGACAGTTATCAAACGCCTCACGATGATAACTGAAACGAATATAATAAAACTGGACTCGTTGTCTCACGCAAAACGGTCCCACTTTAGGCCCCGAGAACTTTTAGAACAATTAATGTCGTACCAAGTACCGCGTAGTGGTATCGCGCGACATAATCGGTGAATCGGCCAACAAACGCGAGCGGAGGTAAATAATATTATACTATTAAGAATTACATATATAAATATATTATTCGTATGCGGCGAATATGCCCGAACGAACGACTGATGAAGTAGCGCATATTATATATGATTCTCACGACTTGTGGCGGGTTCGTAGCAGTCGCTCTCGAGTAATCGCGTAGCGACGATCATCGCGAAATTTCGGGTAGACATTTCGTTCGATTACCCCAAACGAACAAAAAGGAAAACAAAAGACGGGAAAGAGAGAGAGAAGGAAAATCGGACGAGAGTAACGTCTAGGAGGCGACGATTTCTAGGGAACGAGGTATATCAAATTGTGTATAAAATAAAGACGCGACTGTGTGTGCGTGCATGCGTGCCTGCGAGGGAGACTCGTCTCGGGGAGAGAAAGAGAGAGTGAAAAGGGGAGAGTGTGGCGTATGGTTATGCACACATATATCTATTATATAAATAAATAAAAAAATATATAATATACCATTATACATGTGAGGCGCGGGAACGCGCAAGGGCAAAACGAGTTAAGGTCTAGGATACGATAGAGGACAATTAGAAGGGCGTTCGCGAGGAGCACGCAGGGCGTCCGTCTACGAAGTCCCCGCCCCGCCCCTTGAAGAGATAAAGGCAAAACACCGTTCAATTGTACAGTCTTAAGTTTTTAGTTGTGTTCACTACTGTATACAAGCGGGATCAAATTATAGTATCTGTATAAACGGGACGGTTGTATTATCCGCGTGATGTGCGTCATCACTTGTTATACAGAGAATCAACACGCGCACACTCGGCACCCGCGTGTGTCGCGCCTAAAGAAACATACGGGAGGCATGTTCGTATAGCGAAAAGCGTACGCCAGCTATATCGGTTTGGTCGGCGTCGATCGTACTCGCCTCCAAGTCCAGGTCTTCTGGAAGGGACCGAGCGGGATCGCTCGGGGCTGCGGGCTAAGATCGACGTAAACCGGGATTGAGGCGGGAAAAAGAGAAAGTGACAAACGAGACAGGGCCTGTACTATTTCGATACCATCCGAGGAACAGCGAAAATCCATGTCCTTCGACTGAAAGCTAACTAGACTTCGCGCACCTGGTCGATTCGTCGTTCGCGAATGAATAGTCGCTGCGATTTTTTCCCATACGGCGCGGACGGAAAAGGGAGACAGTCGCTTCTTCTAGTCCAGGATGTAACGAACGTACACACACATCTCACTCGAACACGTTAGAGAGAGAGAGGGAGAGAGGGAGGAAACGTTCCCTCGGGCTTCGGCGAAGAAATGCTGCGCGCATAAAATATCCGCTAGATCAGTGTACAACTAATCGACGAGTTTCAACGACGCGATTAGGCACCATCGAATTAAATTAAGTACAATCCGTGCGACCCTCCTCCCCTTTCCCGCGACGGATAACGCGTCCGACGAAGAGGACCCCGCGGGGCGTTTATCGCGACGGCCGGGCCTCGTAGATCATCCTAGTAGGACAATCATAGCGTTGCGCGTTTGTGTTGGACGCGCTAGTAAATTTTCATTAGATGATAGAGACAAGGCGAGTGCGACAAGGGAGTATCTCTCGTTCGAGAAGCTCGCTGGGGCGTGAAACGATCCCGTGGGCGCGCATCGCGACGGAGGATCGTTTTAGATAATTAAGCGACGGCCGCGCGCGCGCTTCGCTCTTCAAGGTCCGCGATAGAGAGAGATATATCTCGAGTCTAAAAGTGAGAATCTCGAGAGCACGGGGAGGAGTGGAGGAAGAACGATTCCGATAAAAAAAAAAACGTATGGGAGCGAGGGTTTATAGAGTGATTTGTAATCTGGCGTTCAATTGCGGATGTCTTGTTATAAACATGTAAATGCGAGTTCGTCAATTTCTGCCCAGCGAACGAGAGAATTGCTAAATAATAAAATGATTATAATGACATTAGTATATATATATATACGCTATATATATACTAATACGATACTGAAGCATCATCACCTTTTGTATCATTTGTTCGTTTGTTTTTATCTTACTGCGTTTGTCTTTCATTATTAATGCAATACCAAGATGACTCGGTTTCGACTCGGTATCTTGTGTGTAAATATATAACTAATAAAAAAAATATGTATACAAATGCAGCGAGCGCACGTCTTGTCGACGCGTCTTCCCCTGCATTCCCCGCCCCCCCCTTCTCATAATTTGCACGTTCTGCGCCGTCGAGTATCAAATGTCGGTGAGATTTAAATAGTTTATTTAACATACTCGCGTATTAAATACATAAATTGTATGAGACACAACGTAATATGCTAAGCAGGTCGATGGGTAAACGGTGCGTCGGCACTCGGAACGACTGTTCGCTTACAAACGATGAGTTTATCTCGCTGCTAATCTTAATTAGTGAGAATAGGGATGCGGACTCGGAATACGGACAACTACGAGAGACGCTAGGAGTGGGATGGAGAATAGAAAAAGGGAACGAGTAAGTAACAAACCTTTTCGAGAGGAAGAGGACTACGTTTTGCGGAGAGAAAGAGAAGGCACAGGATGATCCAACATTAGATGTACTTGCGCGTACTTGGCGACATATGCACTCGTACGGAATCTGATCAAGAAATCGTCGTCTAACGACAGATGGACGCTACACACATATACTTCTAATGAAAATACAAGGTCGATGACTGATTTAAATAACTGCCCGGAGATCGTTGCATGCACGACAATACAGATAAGACATATGGATACCACAGCATATATGGAGTCGATATTCTCGGAATTAATCTTCCAACGCTTTTACCTCGATGCTACCTTCGCCTCTCTCCCTTTTGGGTTTTCCTCTTCTCCTTCTTCTCTTCCTTCAATTGCTTTTGCTTCTCTCTAAAATATTAATACTCAAAGTCTCGCGTGTTCGTCGTATCGCAAATAGGCTCTTAGCGCTGATGGTTGCATCCTACCTGTCTTCCTTGTCCTTCTCCTTTTTCTTCTGGCTCTCCAGCTTGGCCTTTTCCCTCTTCTCCCTCTCTTGCTGCACGATAGTGGCTGCGTTCAAGTTCTTCTCGATTCCGCAGTCCCCGCCGCTCGCCCCGTCCTCCTCCCCGTCTCCTTCGCTATTGTCTTCGTCGGACATTTGACTGTATTGCGCCAGTATAGCCTCCCGTATCCGTCTCTCCTCGTCCGTGTAGCTCCTCTGCGTCGTCGTGGGCAGGCTCTGTGACTCCAGCATCTTTGCCAGCCGGACGTCGACGTCCTCCGTTGGCGCGGGCGCCACGGCCACCTCCTTGGTCGGCAGCCACTTGGCCCACGCGCTCAAGATTTCCTCCACATGCTTGCCGATATTATCCTCCTGCTAGGGCAATAGATAGGAAGTAGATAATATAATATAATAAAATAGAGTAGCGAGGAATGGATGAATGAATGGATTAAGATTTTATCGTAAACCAAGTGCCACTTTCTGGCTGTAAGCTGAAGTGAATAAAAGTTCGATTGATATTATCCTCCCGCAACGAGAGACAGAGACAGCTCGTGAGACGCGTTGCGTAATCTCGCGCAAGGTACGGACGCGAGAACAAGCGCGGTCCGGGTGAATCGAAGAATTGCGCGAGCCAGAAGATCGACGCGAGCCTCAATTCCTCTCGCGATCCTCCGATCCCCGGCGAGCGAAAACTACGGCGGACGATCGCCGCGAGGCGAACCGAGCGCGAGCGCGCGCGCGCGCGCGGGCAAGACTCGCTGGAGGCGAGCGTGTAAAGGAGGCAGGGACGCGTACTTTCGGAGCACGACCTCGCGGCTATTTCCGACCGGCTGACGATGCGGCGGCGGCGGCGGCGACCGCGCGCGCGTTCTAACCTCAACGCCGCCCGCTGCGCACTCACCGTTATGCCCGCGAGTATGTCCCTGAGCGCCTCGGCCTTCTCGTCCTCGGACTCGTCGCCCTCGAGGATGCCCTTGATGTACCTGCCGAAGACGCCCTCGTCCGTGTTGAGCGCCTGCAGCTTCCCGCTGAGCCAGGCGTCGAACGAGCCCGCCGCGACCGCCATCGCTCCGTCTCGCTCGCGCGGTGCCCGATCTCTCGCCGGTGCCCGCCTCTCGGCGCGCTCCGTCCGCAGGCGAGGGAAGGAAGGAAGGAAGAACGCAGCAGCGTCGCCGCGATGACGCCTCCGCCGCCCGAGCGGTCACATCCTTCGGCGCTACTGGACGCGGCTGGTCGGCGCGACCCGACCGGGCCCGGTCATCTCCACGACGGCGCGGGCATCGTCGTCGCGGCTCGTGGCGTTGTATCCGCTCCCGCGAGGCGCGCGCGGGGTGTATATGTCGCGCCGATGTGCGCAACGACGCGCGCGACGTCGCGAACGCCGCGACCGTTTCTCCGGATCGCGTTTCCGGGGCGTGCGCACCTCGGGCGCTTTGCGCACCGCAACTGCGCGCGCATGTGCACGCCGAGTCCCTCGAGATCGTACGCGCGCGCAGCGCGGACTGTATTTTGCCCTTGACGCCCGGTCCAGAGTCTAATCTGCAATGCGCTCTTCGCGCCTAGAAACATGAGAGAGACCCAGCGTCGGCGTCAACGCGGCACTCCCGGCGCTAACCGGCGCGAGAAACAGAAGCGCGACGGCGTCGCGCGAAACGGCGGGAACGTTCCGGCGAGACGGACTCGGGAGGTACGCGAGATTCGACGCGTCTCGCGACCGAACGCGCGCGAGTGTCGAATGGTCTACGATCGCTCAACTTGATCGGCGATACTCACCACCGTTGCGAATAAGCGTCGCGACGACCGTGTCGGCGCGGGAGACCGGCCCCGCGATGCTTCTCGAGCTGACCAACATGGCGCCGTACCCGGCGGCGCCGGCGCTACCGCGCGGTACTACGCGAGTCGAGTCAGCGGACGCGTAAATTCGCGGCGCTTCTTATTGACGAACGATCGACAAACTCGCGACGCTCCTCTACTCAATCAGTTACATCGAAGGAGCAGCGAGCGGGAAGCGGATCGTCGAATCGTCGTCTACCGCTTGCTCTTCTTTCGATGAAACTCGAGTGAAGGAAGACCGCGAGTTCGTCGATCGCTCGTGTAATAGACGTGCGATTTTAAGTGTACGTTTAATTTCAGACGCGCTGCGCGAGCGATAGAGAGAGTCACTCGAGTGTCAAAGTGGCGGTCGAGTCGCGCCGCTCGCTCACTTGACTCGCGTAGTACCGGCGCCATGTTGGTCTGCCAGAGAGAAGCATCGCGGAGCGTCGCGGACACGCAGCGGGCCGGTCTGCCGCGCCGATGGTCGTCGCGACGCATTTCACGACGGTGGTGAGTTTAACGTCGCACGAGCTGAGCAGTCGCGGCGCGGATTACTCGATACTCGCGCGCCGGCGAGCCGCCGGGACGCGTGAATCCCGCGAGAAAGGCTGACCGGCAGAGAACAATCCGACGTCGAAATGATGTCGAATCGACGTCGTTTCGACGTCGATCGACGAATCATTTCTCACTGGGTTAAGACTGTCTCAGTCGTAGACGTGGGGCAAGGCAGAGAGAAACGTAAGTCGTGAAAGGCCATTGTATACGACTTACGTTTCTCTCTACCTTGCGTCTACGACTGAGACACAGCCGAACTCCGGCCGGAATCTTTGGCGCGGCCGCCCAGTGAGAAATGATTCGTCGATCGACGTCGACTGGGCGGTTTCTCGCGGCGCCGCGGGTTCGCCGAGCCCTGAATCCGCAATCCGACGCGGGCTCGAAAAGGTCAGCGAGCGAAGGGAGAAACGAGCGATTTTCAAACCGCGCGCGCCGCCACCGTCAGACGGTCAAACCGCACGCGGCGACAACTTCGCGCCGATCGCAGCGACCCGCCGCGGCGCGACGCGGCAGCGTTTTCCAGGTTGCCTCGCGAATGTGTCGTCCTGCTCGCCGTCACGGTCGTATTTACCGTAGAGGATGAACGTGATCGCCAAGTCGACGGCCCTGTCGCCGTTCCTGCGGGCGACGGCGACCGCCGTCTCGAACGGCGGGCTGCCCGTGGCCGCGACCGGTAAGGTTCACAAGCCAAAGATCGCCGTACCTCAGCCCGTCAAGCGGTCGCCCGGGCAGAGCTATCAGGATCTCCTCACTGGACCTACGTGCGTGAGCTCGGGAGTCGCAGGTGCGTGTGTCCCGCAACGTCAGCCCAGTTCCGCGCCGCGAGTCCTGCGAATTCGCGGTCGAATCCTCCGCGTCGAGTCGACCCGACGTCCGCGCGCTGTTCGCGATTATATAATCGTATCTGCGCACTTTGCGGCCCGCTGCCGCGATCGGTCGAGCTTGTAAAGCTACTCCGGGGGGCTGCGTTCGAAAACGTTACCCGAGTCCCCTAATTTTCCGTCGTTCTATCCTTGTTGCCCACCGGATGTTAAACGAGGATAAAACGACGCACTGGGGTGACGTTCGCAAACGCCGCCTAGAATAGAGAGCGTACACTGACAGACGTGAATCGATAGAAGATCCTGGTAGGCTCCTCACCGCCTCCTCCCCCCGAAGCAATAATGTAATCTGGATTCGTGTCGTTGCAGTCAGTACGCAGGTGCATCAGCGACGCTTGGCGCACACCGACATTCAGTGGCCAGATTTCTCCCACTATCGCCAGGATGAGGTGCAGGATCCAAATTCGAGGTCGCGGGACACTGCGCCGTCCCGAAAGGGTGTTTCCTACCTGATCGCAGCTGGCGAGTATAATACACTGAAACGTATCTCCGAGGCGGAAACCGCTGACCAAGATCTTGTACACCAAGGCCCAACCAATGCCCAGTGCGCATTACTTAATCTTGTTATCTTACTTTATCTTTACAATGTCCCTAATGCTCAGTAATGCCGCAAATCTGTACACCACAATGCCCTCGGCGGTTTCCCCCTCGCATACCTCATACGTGACGAGCGAATCTAATGTCCTTTGACTTTGCGCGTCTAGGTGGCTCCGCGGTGGGTGTTTATAGCGCGAAAGTATTAGTGCACGACATGGTTGGGATGCTGAGCGCGTCGGCTGACGTGCTTGCCATGTCGAAGATCGAGATAAAGCTCGGCAGCATCCCGGAGGGCAAGAGCGCTGTCTTCAAGTGGCGCGGGAAGCCCCTGTTTGTACGACACAGGTAATTCGGCGATTTATCGCCATAAGTAAACGCGTGCATTCGACGTCATCCTCGTGGAAATGTTGCAGAATACAATCGGAGATCGCGACGGAGTCTAAGGTGGACGTCGCGAGTCTGCGCGACCCGGAAGAGGACAGCGTTCGCGTCAAGGACCCCAAGTGGCTGGTGGTGCTGGGCGTTTGCACGCACCTGGGATGCGTGCCCATCGCCAACGCGGGCGACTTCGGCGGTTACTACTGCCCGTGCCACGGGTCGCACTACGACGCCAGCGGTAGGATCAGGAAAGGACCGGCGCCGTTGAACCTCGAGGTACCGCCGTACGAGTTCACCGAGGGCGGTAGCATGCTCATTGTTGGTTAATGACTATTCGATACCTGTAGTCAAATAATAAAATAATTTATGAGATAAGGACGCTCCGTGGGCACCTCGCGCGCAGCACCCTGTTAATAGCGGCGCGAAGAGATCGGAGAAATGTGTGGGTTTGTATATTTCTTCAGACTCATTCTGGAGAGCCTTCGTTCGAACATCGCCGGTGCAGCGCGACCGCGTTGTAACACATACCTAAAATAAATGTTAAGTGAAAATCTTTATGAAGCTTAGTCGATCTTACCAGCGTACAGCTGTGACTAGCGTTACAGTTTACACAAGATGTCAGATGTGTGCTTTTGGAAAAGCAACAGAAGAATAATATTACCTTTGTACGACGAATTTTTTAAGCATATGCAATCAATGAAGGTGAAAGTTACGGCGTTTGGGTAACTCTTGGGTAACAATAGTAGATTTTTTTATTAGTCCGATAATACTATACCAAATGCGCTTGACGTTTAAAGAGGACCGTCTATTAAAACTGCCATTAAAAAATATTAATTTTCCACAAAATTAAAAGATGTAAACTGAATGGAGGATAAAGAAAGGCTCCAGGATAGAAAAGTTCTCGAGTCTCTAGAAATATTTTATTTTATAAGCAATATGTTTGAAAAATTTGTTGTACGACAAATTGGTTCAAGTAGATTGACTGCAGGATAGAAAAGTTCTCGAGAGTGTCTAGAATTTTTTATTTTGCAGCCGATATGCTTCAAGTTTATCGCACGGCAAATTTTTTAACCGTATCGATCGGTTGTAGAACAGAAAAGTTGTCGAGTCTCCAGAACTTTTTTATTTCGCAGCCAATCAATATGCTTAAAAGTTTGTCGTACGATAAATGTAATATCACCCTAGAGCTCGAGCTGCAATGTGCTCTTTGCGTCTAGAAACTTCTATTTTATAGCCAATAAAGACGTTTAAAAAATTTGTACGAGCTGATGAACTGTATATTATACATTGCACTGCCGTGCATTGTCGGCAAATTCTTTAAGCGTATCGATTCGCCTGTATAAAATGTTTCTCGCTGCGAAAAGCACACTGTAGATTAGACTTGAGAGTCGTATTAGACTGGATATTTTGTCACGCAACAAAATTTTAAGCGCGTCACTGGTTGCAGGATGGAAGTCGCCGGGTATCTAGAAATTTTCCATCCCGCAGCCAATCAACACAAAAATTTGTCGACAGTCTTTAAGTATATCAGCCGGCCACAAAATAGAAAATATCTAGAAACTCGAGGACCTTTTTATCGCGCGATCGTTCGGCGCGCCTGACAAATTAATCGTACGACAAACGCAACGTTATCTAAAATCCGAAACACCCTCGCGCGTCCCGCGGCTGTAACGCGACTCGGGGGAGCAGAGAGAGGGTAGGGGGTTGCGACGATGCCGTCGCTCTACCGCGAGGGGGCGCCAGCGTTCGGCGGCGCGGCCGAAATCTCTCGGTTGTCGGTGCGCGCGGCCGCGAAGGCGAAGCGGGCGACAATCGTCATCGCAATCGCCGGGCGATCGCTGCCGGTCCTCACCTCGATCGCTCGCGTCCGCTGCTGGCAGCGTACGGACGAGAGAAATCGCGCGCGCGTCATCGACCAGTCGTCGCCGCGTTCGCGCTCGTTTACCGGAGAGTTCGGAGTAGCCGCGTTTCCGCCGGCCGGCGTTGCGCGCGGCGTCGTCGTCGTCGTCACCACTCGCCGCTCACACGCTCGCTGTCGTCGGGAGCAAAGTATATATTATATTACGTACACACAACACACATATTACGTACACGCGCGCGCGTTAACCCCCTCGCCGACCAGCTGACTCTCCCACTCTCCCGTCTCTTTCTCTTTCTCCCTCTTTCTCTCTCGCCTCCCGGAACTGACACTCGGAGCCGCCGCCGGCGACGCATCGCCGACGATGTATTGTCCGGTCGCGCGCCGTCAGCGAGCCGCGCCGCTGCTCCGCGAAAGGGTTGAAAGCCGGGAGTAGGAGAGACGTCGTCGTCGCGGGAACAAGCGAGAAGGAAACGGCGAGAGGAAGCGCGCCCCAATTGCCGGTGAGTAAGCACTGTAGCGCGATGCTGTCGTTCTTCAAATCTTTAACGAGAGCTCTCTCTCTCTTCTCTCTCGCTTTTCTTCTTCGGAATTTCCCGGTGGCTCGAGCGGCCGCGATTCCCGAGACGATCGCGCATCGACAAATACACACACACACACAGCGATTCGACAATAGAGAAACACTCGCGAATCGGATTTTTATTTTCGCACCGAGAAGTTTACTCCGAGGTTCATAATCGCGTAGCGCGATTCGAATAACGTTCGTTTTCTTTTTTTCCCCCGCCCCTCCCTTTGAACGCCGCGCGATAAACAGGAGCGTCTTATCTTTCGAACATTCCTCGGGACGCGACAAGTTTTTCGGGCGCTCTCTCGCTGCATCTCTTATTCAATGTTCACGCTGCGTTCCGGCGCGAGCCGCAGGTTGCTCCAGTTTTTGCCAGTTTCCACGTTTGTCGAAACTTCTCGCGCCCCCCCCAGAGAGCACCTCCCTTTTTTTTCGTTCGGGGAGGAGGGGAGGGAATGCAGCACGTCGCTTAGACTGCGCGGTGTTGATGTCGCATTCCTCCCCGTGAAGTTTCATTCGCGCTCCGAGTGCTAACGGCAGGTACATTATACACGCAGCGTCGTCGACGACAACAATAATCGCGATAACGATCGATGACAGACGGTCCTACCCTCGTTTGCACCTTCACGCAAGAATATCAATAGACAATGATCGAGCTACCAATCGACCGCGACCGGCGACGTGCTTTTAACACCGAACATTTATCGCGAAAAATATTACCTCGGCCAGGGGTCTGAGCCTGGACCTCCCTGCGCTCTCACGGCGGGCGCCAATTCGACCACCGAGGCATATTCGAGAGCAACACCAATAGAGCTCGCTCCTTTATTCGCCGCCTTGTTAAACAATTGGTTAATTCCTGCGCTTCCGTGTGTCTGCGCGGAGAGGATTTACTCGGGAAATCGCGGGACAACGTGGCGTCTCGAAGAAATTTACTAACAGACTCGTTACCTTCTTCGAAATGCACGCGTCGTCCCACGACCATTCGAGGAAAAATTCTCACCGCGCGCGTGTCAATCGCGTTTTCTCTTTTCTATCGAGATAGAATCGTACACTGAAAAAAAATCCGATAGATTCAACCAGTCGTCTGTTAGAAAATGGACGAATCTGAATTCCTTTAGGATTTACCATGAAAGATATTTCATAACCAGAAGTTCGCTAGACTTCACTGCAAATCTGGTAAATCCTAAAGGAATTCTGATTCGTCCATTTTCTAGCAGACGACTGGTTGAATCACTCTGATTTTTTGTTCAGTGTACGCTCAGAAAAGTGCCCTGATTGTATCATCCAGACATGTGCGACAGAATGTATTTTGGCTGAACCAAACGGAAGTTCTAGTTAGCACGATATAGGGCTCGATACTTCATAACCAGAAGTTTGCTAGACTTCACTGCACATCTGGTAAATCCTGAAGGGATTCAGATTCGTCCATTTTCCAGCAGACGACCGGTCGAATCTATCAGATTTTCTTTTTTTCAGTGTAGCGTTTCGCTCAACGCCCCGTGCTGCGAGCTTGGAAATTAACGGAGCCGTCGCACGTCGCATTTACTTATTTCGAGTACAGGCACGCAGGGTCCGCGATGATAACCGTTCGTTCGATGAGCACGACGCGAGTTATACCAGTTATACGTCTCTCGCGCCTCGTCCCTTGTTTGGTAACGCCGGGGTATCGGCGCGAGCTCGAGAACCGGGGGGCATGTGTGTTTGTGTATCTGCACGCCTGGGTCATCCGAGGATTTCCGTACACGCGAGCAGTGGCTTTGCATCCCCGGCAACGGCTCGCGAAAGCAACCACCGCGCGCTGCTCCGGGCCTTGGCGTGCGTGCGCGCGCGCGCTCTGACCTTTACGTTTCTATTTACGTAAATAAAGTCGTTCGTGCCACCAGCGGTGCGTCGATGCATATTCAAAATTCACACGGGGAGCAGTCGGGCCGACGATCTAGACCTCCATCGGCCAGCGCGTAGGCTCGCGAAGCTGTCCCCGAGGCGGAGTGAGGAGACACGCTCTGAGATCGGTAATAAAAAACCGGGGTTGGGAAAGTTACTTTATAAAAGTGTCTGGTTACAGTTGCAGTCTCTTCGCTAAAAATGTAACTAGTTACAGTTACAAGTTACCAATTCTGAACAGTAACGAATCGTTGCTTTGCGGTTACTTTCTTGCGACGAAAATAAAAATATCAAATCTGGCATTTGAATTGTTAAGTGTCGATAAAGGCGTTTATGCGCCAACGCGAGGCCTAATGCGACCCTGTGCAGGTTCCAAATATGTATGAAGTGAAGCCAACGGCGCACGATACTATTTTTCCTACTGGATTGCTTGCGAGAGCCAATAGGAATGCAGAGTTTCAAATCGGATGACTTAAGGCTGAATCCTGATTGGCTCTCGTGAGCAAGTAGGAAAAATAGTATCGTGTGCCGTTGGCTTAACTATTAATGTAACTGAGTTAAGTTGCAGATGGAGAGAAAGTAACAAGTTAAGTTCGAGTTACTAAAAAAAGAGTAACTGTAACTCCGTTACAAGTAACGAGTTACTTCCCAACCCTGTGAAAAACGCCCCTAAAGTTCGTCTGCCAACGATAAAATCGACATTAGCTGCGTCCGGTATTGCAAATCAAAGCGCTGTCCTGCGCTACGTCTAATCTACAATGTGCTCCTTGCGCCTAGAAACATTGTTTTATATAAGCAAATCAAAACGCTTCAAGAAATTCGTCGACAACGTACGATTGTACGATGCGTAATGTACAATTTATCGACTTGCACAAATGAGGAAGGTCCGCTATCGTGAGACTGGATCTTAATATGGAATAGCGGGCGTTTCTGCGAAGTTAATAGACATCGCCCCGCGTTGAATCCACGAACTTATTGCTCTTGAAGCGAGATCTGTTCAGTGGACAATTCATTGTTCAGTTGTGTAATCGTCGCGAGAAAGGATTTGCGATTGAATTCGGGTGTTGAGAGCCTGCTGTCTCGGTGACAGAGGACTTTCCTCTTTTTACTGGCTGTAAAGTAGAATGTTTCTAGACGCAAGGGGCACATTGCAGATTAGGCTTCAGGGCGAGCGGGAGAGGAGGAGCACCTCCAGATTTGCAACGCCGGGCGCGATTATTGACTCGCGCTTCGCGAAAGACGTACTCCCGATCGCGGCGAAACCGAGGCAGCGAGTGTACGCAATTACTATCGCGCGAGAATCGTTAATTACATTATCGCGAAAGAGTCGGAGACGTAACGGAAGTGTGCGATACGCGGCGCGGCATTTTTTTCCCCCCCCACCCCGATCGATCAATTGTCCGAGTTGCGTGTGCTCTCTTTCGGCGGGCGATCCCTCCCGTCCGCCCTTCACGGCCACCCCTCGCAACCTTGTTCTTTGGCCGAGACTGTACCCGTTGTTCGCAAAGATCGTTACCCACCCCGGGATGTGGATCCTCCGAGAAAGTTGCAAGTGCAAAGGCTGCGAGCGGGCACGAGTTGCGATGCAAATGCCGTCGGGTTCCTGGCATTCTAATTCTTATGCGTCAGCGAGCGAGAAAACGCGGCCGAGAGTGCGGCGGGCGCGCGCGCGCGCGCGCGCACGGAAGAAGGGAGCCGCTGTCTTCTCTCGCAGGATCCAGTTTCCCTTTTTCGGTTTTTCCCTCTCTTTCTCCCTTTCCGCCTCTCCTCGCCACCGACGGCGCAGGACGAGACTCTTTGCTGCTTTGTGCCCTGCATCCACCGAGCGCACTTCTCCCTCCTGCGCGCGCGTATGCGTGTGCGTCCGCGCACGCGAAATTGCGTGCGTCGTAACGAGAGAGAGAGAGAGAGAGAGAGAGAGAAAGAGAGAGAGAGAGAGCGGAACCCCGCCGCTACGCGCGGGCCTTCACGCTGGAGGAGAATCAATAGATGTGCGTTGCATCTTGCCCCTCCTCGTCCCCCCGCGACCCCCTCCTCACGCGTTTTGGGCAGCCACCCTTCTGCCACTGACTCCGACCTTCGCGCGCGGCCGCGTACTTCGCGAGCCGCGCACGATTTACGAGCCGCACAGGCGATCTACATTCGCGCGAGCGTTTATTAATCCGTGGAATCCGCGCGAGAGTCCAGGGATCGATCGGCGGGACGAGCGCGAGTTCCCCGCGTACCCTCGATCGCGCCATTCGCCGAACTCGGCGCTCGATGCGAAACGCGAAGATGTCACCCTCTCCGGCGCTTTGGCGCGAGATTGAATTTCTTATAATTTATAAGAAGCCGGATGGAGCATATTTTTTTCCTCCCGTTTTCGCGTCATCGAATCGATACGGGCGTTATCCGCGAAAGGTCGAAAGTTCACCGGTGAAGGAAGCACCAAAGAATCCCCGTTCGTGCGAGCTAATTCATTGCACTCGCGTACTCTCGCCGCGTCTCGCGCCCTCTCGTCATTGTCGGTCCTTTTTGTTTGTAACTTTTCCGCGACCCGTTCGCCGCGGGGCCCCGTCCGACGTGTCGCCGTTGCGTTTCGTACGCCATATTGGCCACCCTTGCCCTCAACCATCGCGCGCGATCCTATCGTCTAGGAACTTGGCGCATAAATCAAGATACGGCGGCGGATAAAGGCCAATTGCCACGTAGTCCTAGAAAATGGTGTAATTTGGTATGTACGCCCGGCCCGTATTTTCGACGCCGCGCTACCCGCGGCATCGATTGCCCGTAAAGATATCCGCGTGAATGTCAGCCGCCCTTTCCGGCCGCCTACTGAATTATTTACAGCGACGATTGTCGCTAAGAAAGCACACACCTTTGCCCTATTACGTGCCGACGTAAATGTAATTGGAAAGGGTTAAATTAAGGAATACATCTGCGCTAAACGTTTCCTGGACCCTCGGAATCTATCGGGATCAACGAGGCCCGAGTTTTTTTGTTTTTTTTTCGAAACACCGACCGTTTACGGACTTTCATTTATTATACATTAAAATATCGGCCAAGCGATAGCGC